TATGCGGGGACGTTCTCGCTCTGGGTCTGACAAAACCCTCTCCCCTTTCCCTCCACATCATCCTCCTTTGGCCGAAGGACCCGCAACTTTAAGCGCTCGTGACATTTCGTGTCACGCTCAATATCCAGACGCGTTTGTTCTCCGAACGTTTTTTAAAATACCCCTAGCTGGTAAAATTAAAAGCATGCAGCGCCTGATCACCTGAGGGCTAAGTCTGAGGTAGGACAAAGCATTCTTTGCCCGAGTTTAGTTTGCTTTTCTTACATTGTTTGGGTTCCCAGCCCTGTCTTGGTTAACGACACGTCAAATCGTGGCATGCCCAGAAAATAAAATCAGGATGCTAAGCCTCCTCTTCCTGAATCTAGGGTTATTAAATTGCAGCGGCTGTGATTGTCATTCCGCAGGGCAACTTTGATGTCGGTATTCTTTTCGCTCAGGCTTAAGTGGCCTATGGAAAAGGATTCTCCCTCCCACTGACGTGCTGTAGTCTTAAGTCAAATCTTAGACCTGTCTTCTGGGCAAAACGGTAATCCTTTGGTTTCAGTATGACCCTCTGTTTAAACAAGCATACAGCTGAACCAGATAAATAGGCCCTTTGGGTTTTCCCAGTGCAGGAAGATGTTGTAATATTTCCAGTAAACATGTTGGCAAAATTGCTTATTAAAATTAGGGAGAGCAAAATGATCAGTTATAGCAGATGCACTCTCAATTAGTGCGATGACCTGCATTTGACTGATGGTGTTAAGTAATGCCTATGCCTCTTGGTACATCAGGCGCCATTAAAAGTCAACATTTATCCAAATTTGGCAGACCGTAGCACTTGAAACAGAGAACGGAGTTCCAGAGATACCTTTGCACGAGAGAAGAATGTACATTTTAAAATGGTAGCCTCCATAACATTTTTAATTGATTCTGTATTTAATTTTTTTTTTCCACACAAAATTGTATGCTATTTTTCCTTATTTAGAAAACACGCATGCTTTTGTCTCTTTGGGGCATACAGAACTAGTTAAAAAAACATTTTTGTTTATTCTTTTTTTTCGCTCAGGCAAAAGTCAGAAAAATAAAAATAGAAATATTGAGAAATATATAAAACTAGACATATTTAGAAATATCCATACTTGCGGTATAGTCCATCCCTCATTTGAAAAGCTCTATTAGCAAAAACGTCCCTCAGCGAAGTCAGTGGAGCTACACCTCTGGAACACAGAGTAACTGAAAAAACATGTTTCCTTTTTATTCTATATTTTTCCTTCACGTGCTGCCTGTTTATTTTTCCTGAGAGAAATTCAAGTCACTAATTTAGAGATCAAGCTACGTTTCTAGCAACAGCCCAACAGGCACAGCAGCCACTGCATCTCCATCACCCCCCCGGCACCTCTACAGCAGGCGTATTTCTTCCCGCACGCTCCCGATGCAAACAACTAACTGACTCTCTTTCAATACTCCCTAAGTCAGAAGGTGGTGCCTTCCTTCACCCTGACTTTTTCCTAGGAAGAATGCTTACTCTTAAATCATACTCCAATTTCAACTCCTTTTCTCAGCATCCCCTTTTCCTCCCCTGACAGACAGCTGTGTCGGAGGAAGGGGTACAGCTCTCCAGCTGAGTGGTTGTTGAAGCAAACACCACGGCAGGCTGTTCCCTTAGGCCTCCTTCTAGTTACTAGTTTTCAAGCGCAGTATCTTACCATCTCTATCCAAATTTTAACTCCGCCTTTGTGTTATTTCGGGAAAAAGCTCTGAACTCAATACGGAATTTTTCCTGTAGTGGGTTCTTTGCGATCCTCCTTGTAACCCAGGAACCTTCTGTGGTACAGATGACTTGGGACTTCATAAGATTTTGTACTTCCAGAGCTGCTACTTCTCATTAGCCATTCTCAACATTGTGTTTGTTTCCTTCTTGTTAGTTTGGATTCCTTTACAGCACTGATTAGGTTTCCCTCTAGTCTTGTTCAATTTAATAGCTTTTAACCTGTCCGTTTTATTTATGTCTGCTTAAGTGCTTATTTAATCTTTTCCCTTATAACTATAATGACCTTCCACAGGTTACTATAATCCTAGAAGGTATGTGGGGAATTTAAAGATTTAAAAGTCGTTTGACTTCATAAATAATTTTTATTTTCTCATTACATGCCTTATTTTTAAAACAAGAATGTTACATTTTCTATTTGATCAAAGTTTGTTTTTCACACATATTCCTTACACATATCTAGTAGTGAGGCTATTTGAGACATTTAGGAGTCAAAACAGCCTTTTGGTTTGGTTTTTTTTTTTTTTACAATTTGTCTAATGAGAACTGCAAAGGGTGCTGATCTGACATAGAAAATGCATAGCATGTATATATTCTTTGCTAGGGTCTACAGCGAGAATTTCATGCCATTAAAAATACTTTGGTCAGTTGTGCAGGTTTTGTTTTGATTTTTAAACTAAAATAGTTGTATAGTGCAGATAGCAGTTACCTAGCAATACCAGTATAAAGCATATCCGTATTGATGTTACTGTGTCTCTCTTCCAGTGTGAGTGCCTGACTTCTACTGTATGCTGTACTTACACTAACATACTAGCCTTTTAAAGCCTCCCGGCAATTGCAGAGGGGAGCCATAATTCAGCAAGCTGTTGAAGCATATACCTACTTTTAATCTATGGGTTCCATGACAGCTTTCTACTTCTGATGTGGCCACAATTCAGGAATGACTGTAATCTGTGTCTTTTGTCTCACACTGAGACAAAACACAAACAACTGGTGCCCATCTCCTTCACAGCAAGGATCATCTCTTTGTCACCACTGTACAGAAACTCTGTTCTCCTTTGCAGCCCTGAGCACAGAGCTTGTCTTGATCTGGGAACACATCTGGCAGGAGTGCCTGGAGAGCAGGAAGGGCTGTAGCACAGCCCCGGAGCCAAAGGAGGCCTGAGAGATGGTACAGTCCATCACATACCCCAGGCTCATTCCTGGCCCAAGACACGATCCACAGAGTTTCGTAAGCTGGCAAAGAAGAAATCTGAGAGATCTGGTGATTCCATCATACTAATTTTCCCTGTTTGTAATTTTACTTATCTACACCAAATGAACAAACTGACTGTTTGGTCAGATTGTGCACATCTCCTCCTTTCTCAGGCCCTGACGGAGCAGCCAAGCTCCATAGCTGGGAGCTGGGCTCAAACTGTCCTGGGAGATCAGCATCCTGAGAAGTCTGTCTATCTGAGGGCTGGCATATGTTTCTGATTCAGGCACAGGGAACAGCCCCACAAACTTCTTTCACTGCCTTGCATCCCCTTTGATTCTGTGCAGTTCCTGCCCCTCAACTAACCTGCTCTACCTTCTTCTAGTCCTAACTCATCTTTATCCAAGACTTTTCATACAAGCTCTTTCATTTCATGACCTTGCTCTTGACTTGCTCTTTGGTTTGGGGTATCGTTGGTTTCCCTGTTCTCCTGAGTATATTTTCCATCTGGGGCCTTGGGCTGGTCTGTCCTCAGTGACTGACTCCCAGTCTTGAGTTTCCTCAGTCTCAGTGGCTGGACCTACCCCGCTATAGTCACTTCTCACAGGTATTCCACTTGTGGCTCCTTAATAATTCCCATTTAAAGCCACCTTGCTGAATGGGGATTACAAAACGTGATACCCCACTGCTGACGCAGGGTGTTTGGCACATGGCTTATCTGTGTGATAATTCAGCTGCCTGTGGAATAGGTCGTAGTGGCAATATTGGGTCATGGCTTAGGAGAAGCTGCAAAAATGCAGGAGAATGTCGCGTCCCCTTAAGATTAATCACACTAGTCAAGATCTTCAACAGCTCATACTGTTTTCATAGACAATTAGGCACCTAAATGCCTTTGGACATAGTGCACCTGTTTTTTAATTTGGAGTTCCTTGTAACATTGTGGATTGAAGCCAGAAAAGCACTCTAAGCAGCGGTAATTTGGATCCTGGTTTTTCAGTACTTTATCTCTGCTATGAAATACGACTCTAAAATATGTCTCTACCTGAGACAGGGAAACATCCCGTCCCGGGACATGAGTAAATAATTCACCCAACCCCCAACAATGAACTTAATTAACATGGATAAACCTATTCCTTTCAAAAATGCCATCTTTGTATTTCACAGCAGACATGAATGAGACTTTCTCGGTCTTGCCTGATTCTGATTTCAAACATAAATTACTCTGTGTGTTCCTTAGAAGCAAAAGAAAGTGTGAGCACCTTTCTCTGCCTTTACCTTCTTTCACTTCATTCCCAGTAAAATTTCATTTGAGCCAAGTCCTATCCAGGTGCCCTGAGGCTATTTATATACTCCAGGAACTTAGGCTTTAAGTATTCAAAAGTTGCCTCTTCTTTGTGTGTTTCCTTGGAGGAAATGATTGCTCCTCACACATCTACCTTTGAAAACTCTCCAGAAGGCTCACAAATTCAGTTTATCAGATTAAAAAAGTTGAATCCATACATAAACTTCTCCCTGACTAGAATTTTTTTCCAGCCTGGGCATGATTCCTACTTAGCCTGGTGACAGCTTAATGGTACATGCTGCCATACTGAATTTGAGGAGATCATGGTAAGAAAACAGATAACTAGTGAAGAACAGAAAAAAGCATAGGGAAGAAAGGTGTGAAATGTTAATGCTGTCATTCCCTTTTAAGGCAGAATGGGTCTGTAGATATTCACTACTCCTTTCTCAGAATATGGTAGCCCAAAATGTGCTTCTCAACAATAAGTCATGAACCCTTTACAAAATGATTGAATTCTCAGAAATAGTTTGAGGAACCTGAGCTACCCAGAACCATTCAAGAATTACTCATCTAGAGTAAAAGCAATGATGTCATATGCCAAAGCATTACACGTGTCCAGGCCTATATTCTCCATTTCATCTACTCTATGAAATAGATCTGGATTTTTGCTTAGAACTACTTTCAATTACAATTAAAAGAATAAACTAATGTTAAGCCACCTGAGGTCTGTCATTATCCTTCTGTAAATTAACCTTAAGACACTCTTTCCTTACCCTGTTTTGATGATGCTCCAGTGGTTTTAAGATGAGGAGACCAGTTTGCATCCAGTCCATCTCTGTTTTCTCTGGTTGGATTGAGAGAATACCTAGCCGAACAAGAGAGATGAGTAGCAGAGAGTAGAAGTCCATTTGGGATGAGTCTCTTCCTTCTCCACTGTCATGAAGGGCTGTGGGGACATCTGGGTCTCTAGGGAACATCACTAAATAGGACCAGATAACCTCAAAATATTACAGCCAGACCAGCTCTCTCATGTATGATTCACTTGCCGTATAACGACTAATAAAGGCAATATGTGTGGAACCAGGAAGGCAGCCAATATAGCTTCTTCCAAGAACTGTGAGTAATTAGCTGGGTCCCTGGTTAATTTCTTTCATGAAAAAACGTGTTTAGATCCTTACAAGTGGTGCTCTTTTCCTGACGTCTCCCTCTACTCCCGAACAGCATAAGTTCATGCAATTGGAAAGGAAGAAAAAGCAAAACACAAAGTTTCAAAATCTTAGGGGTATTTTGACTCCAGCTGCAAAAGCTAACATTTCCTTGCTCCTCCTTAGTTCCTAACATCCTGGTGGTTTTCCACTCAAAACCTGATCTATAACCCAGCCATAGATATTGTATCCTTGTACAACGTGCTCCGGCCTCTTGCTTTGGTTTGAAGTGTTTCAAAAATCTGGTGTTTCAGAGGAAAAAATGTTCAAAACTTCCCTAACATGAAAGAAGACTAATTAGTTGCAGCATGTCCCAAAGGAGAAAAGACTTACCCAAAGCACCATGTTCTCCTTGTTTGTGGACCTCATGTCACAGCAGCTGTGAAGAAGAGAAAAAGAAGATTCTGAGCTTGCTAAGTACCTCTCACACCTCGTTGGGAAACCTCTGGCTCTTTCACTCTGTCTACTTCAGGCTTTCCCCCATTACTGCTCTTGAGGTAGCCCATCGCTGTCCATGACTGAGACTACGTCTCCTTCAAACTCAACCAGCATTTTCTTCCTCGCTAGAACAGAGCATGCAGGCTGTGGGAGATGTTTGAGTTGCCCAAAGCAAATGTAGCCCACCCTCACCCCAAGCAGAGGAGGATGCTCCAAGCAAACAAACAAAACGATAGATGGTTCCTTCTGACAGCAGGGCAGATTTTAAGTGGCAAGAATCCTGCCCAGGGATACATTGAGGATGGAATACATTTGATAACAATTTAATATGTACAGCACACAAGGGAAAAGTTTATTAATAATCACATGATGCAGTTGAACTAGATATTTTAATTAAACCTAACTTTACCTCACTGATAGTGACTGGCAGTGGATGTTTTGGGAAATACACAAACATTTCACTGAAATTGTTGATTTAAATATAAGGATAGTATCCTCTTTCAATATTTCAAACATATTATGAACATGCCAGCTAAATGTTATGGAAAAATAATATTAAACTGCTACTGAATGAAGTAATGAGGTGACAGAGTACAGAATATATGACTCTCCATGTAAGTCCCGTTCTTTAGGAAGCTTCATAAACATAATGTCCAGTCTACATTCCCTTATATTATTTTCTTAAGATGCTTTTTTCATAACCTTAGGAAATAAATACATGGGCTCAGGGACCAGGAAAACTTAACAACAACAAAATTTGTATCACTACAAAAACATTCACATGTATTGCATGAACTAGAAAGGGACCGAGATTTGGCCAAAACAAGTGGAATCTATGATTTGTTGGGAATCTAGGAATATTTTTGCCTTTTTTAAAGCAAAATGTACCAGTTTGAATAGCACCAGCTTGTTTTTATTGCATAATTTGACTCTGTGGATTGAATTATTTTTGCCAAGTTTTGTCAATCTGCCTGGCCTGTTTTATACAATTTATGCACAGTTAATACATCATTCATCAACTCCATGTACATGATGGGATTTTTTTCCTTCTCTCTGCTCCTACTGTCACACGGCAATCTCTGCCCAGTTCTGACTAAACTAGCCAGCTAAACTTTGAGATGTATATGTGTAATAAGTTACCTAGAATTTTGCTTCTTCATTCCTTCAGTTCCTTCTTTTTTTTTGTTGTTAGCTAATAACAGGTCTCTATCAGCTGTAGGTGGATTCACTGTGGAGTTTTCTTTTAAATAACAAAACAACCCCAAATATTATGTAATGCAATGAAAATTATGTATAGATATTGAGAATATTTACACACAGTGCATTTAAGAAAAAAGAAAAAAAAAGAAATAAAGATTTGTCTTTTCCTCTTCTTGGAGAGGCTAGGAATTTCTAATTTGAGCTGGCTATGTCCTTTACCCAAAGGTACTGATAAGAGAGCAGAACTATCAAATAAGATCCCAAGAGCACATCTGGCACGTGAAGAGCTCTGTCACGAATGCTGGGAGCAAGGCATGCCATCTTCCCACCCCAGGGGCCTGGGAGAGTCTTGTCAGTGGCCACTGTTCTGCCCTGACTTCCATGAGGACCACTTGCTGCTGACCTAACTTGCCTGCCTCCTCATGGGAGGCTGGACCGGAATCTGAATTAATGCATATGTCTGTCCATTCTCAAAAAGCAACAAACCTTTATGAATATTCAAGTAAACTATGTAGCGAGTTTCTTAGTGACAGACTAGGATTATTGCCAGAGTACTAAACATCAAAGGGTGGGGTGCTTCAGGTAGCTGTACCTAACCACTTGTAAATACTCAATTTATTGATAATTAAATGTCAAGCTTAAGTGCATCAGTAAATACATTTTGATATCAAAAAATAAATAACATTTGCTATATATTTTAATTAACGTTGAATTGTGCAGGGACAAGAAGGGAATCATCCATACAGAACACAGAGCAGTCAAGGCAGTGCAAGACTGTTTATTATTTTACAGGGTCTGCAGATGTCGTGAGTGCTTGACATTGCATTTGGAAAAGCATTGTTCTTTCTCCAAGAGATGTATTTGATTACAACCAGGTATTTATAAAGCCTCAAGCTCCAAAGTACTTGAGGAGCATCAGTAAGAGAAAAATGACAGTACTGCTGTGTGTACTTATCTCTCTTATCATGCCATGCTATATAGGATCTGAATAATCCACTTTTTTATATATGGCAGTAAGCCTGGGTACGAATAAGGAGAAATTTGCATGCTAAAGGAACAAGATTAGACTGCTAAAATCATTCCAGAAACAAGAAGGCAAGACACCCCCTAGTTATCTTTCTTGTAGTCCTAGATCTGCATTTTCATTGATCAACCTTATGAGTCTTCTGGTTGAGAAAGGGGCTGTGTGTGATAGAGAGGTACAGTTCATACTATTGCCTCCAATTAAGCCAAATTACATAATTAGAAAAAAAACCATATAAACTTCTGAATATACAAGCACGTCTTCAGGTCTGCTTTCAATACCATCACTGTCTGCTTGAACGTTATATGACAGGCGCAGGGCCGTTATGTTTAACAATTAAGAAATTCAGAAACAAGCTTCTGGGGCTTAGTGTTCAGAGATAAGGCTTCTGCAGCTCCTGAGGTGCTGTGGGTAAAACATAGCAGAAACATTGCTTCATGTAATGAAGTACTATACACTTTCCCTGGCCATCTGCAGTGGAAAAATGTGCTGCAGATGAGTAGAACTTCACAGCATAGCTACAGCAAGGTGATTTGCACATATGCCTCCTCTTCTCTACAAGTAATATACTTTTCTAAATCTAGTGTCTGTTGGAGTAGAATAACCTGCAACTGGAGCTGTCAGGAATAGGAGGGAAACAGGCATGAGGAGAAGTCCAAGAAAGCTCTGGTGGCAGAAGGATTTGACAATTCCAAAGTTACAATGAAAGAAGAAATGAAGCAGCAGTAGGTAAAAGGGGCAGCATACCACCTAGAAAAATCATAAAGAGGATATTTGAAGTCTCTGATGTATCATGCCACTTTCCTCTAAATGTTCATTGCACTGGTGCAAAATACTCAGAGAATATTTTAGGAATTTAAATAATTTTGGTTTTGCTTACATAGTTTTTCGTAAGTTAAGTAATGAAGTTTTATTCAAGCAAACATCTGCAGACACCATGCTCCTATCTGAATGTGCAAGTATTTGCATTGGATGTGTTAGACAGCTCATCCACTCAGGCAGCATGAACAATACCAGGTAACTATTGCAATAAATTTATCATTTAAAAGTATAAATATTGTCTCAAGTATATTTACCATAAATTCTTTTAATGAAAATATAGCTTAATGGCTCTAAATACAGACCAAATCTCATGAGCTTTTGATTTGCAAGTAGATACCGAACAAGTATGGAAAGAAAGAGTCCTAGAGTAAGTTGTTTTCTATAGTTGTTTTTAGCAGCATAACCTCTTCTCCAGATCTTTGAATATATATTTAAGTTTGGATCATAACTCACATCTCTAGTACAAAAAAAAAGGGGGGGGGGGAAAGGGGCACATGACACAAAATATGTTTTTTTATCTATAAAAATCTAAGAACACAGTTTAAAAATATCCAATTATCAGAATTTCTCTAAAGTTTGGCTTGGGTTTTCCTTTGGGTATGAGACTATTGTACCAACTTTTATATGCACACTCAAAAAGAGAAGGCCTGAGGCATAAGGCTTGAAATTAAGGCTTATTTTATATTGACATATTCCTTATCAAGGGCAGGGGGAATCAGAAGTGTCTTGGTAATTCTGGCCTCAAATCCATAGTTCTAGGTAAGCAGAGGATGGTCTTTTTACAAAATATACCTTTGTAGATTCAAAAGTTTGTAGTGATAGCCAATCTAGTAAGTCCCTCCCTGCCTATGCAATTCTTATACCCTTTATTTCTAATCTGAATATTTCAAAACACAGCTTTCTGATACTGGATCTTGTTATGCCTTTGTCTGCTGGATTAAAGAGTTCTCAAAGCATTCCTGAAGCAGTTTCCTGAATGCTTTCCAATTTTTCGAAATCCTTTTGAAGGTGTGGATGCAGGGGCTGGACACAGTATTCTGGCTGACAGTTGAGTTTCATTACCTTGAAATAAGGATTAACTGGGAAGTCAAAACTGCATAACTTGGTGTAGTGACATTTCACCCTTGGTGACCTGGGTTTAAATTTGTGTTTGGTCAGCAATGGAAATTG